ATTCTTATTTGCAATATGTACTTTTACATTACAGCTCGTTTTTGGGATCTTATTCGATTTATAAGAATTCAGATTAGGATAATTGCAGACTATTCTAAAAAAAATAGAACAGAAATGAACATATCTATTGTAATATTAATCTTTACATATTCAGTTAACAAGCTGATCAGCTTACACGGTTGAATTTCATCATCGTCTTACATAAAGCTACAAACTTCCAACTATGTGAAATTGCAATTGAATTGTTATTATTTTCACATAGTTTACAAAGTCCCACAATGTTTATTTGTTAAATTTCATCAATGCGATTTAAAAAAATGAATAGTTGCGTCCTGTTTCTCAGTAACATTAGTTAATCGTACAAGATTCAAAGATTAAAACACTTATAAGGACAGACTGAATGCTTCTTGTCAGACCTTAACAGATCATACAAGATCTAAAACAAAGAAACATACACGGTACATAATGTAGATCTTGCATGTTATTATCTGTTCATGTATGGTGTGTTCTGTTCTTTCATTTGTTCGAGAATAGTTAACTCCATCAGCTTTCCTATGAAAAATAGCACCTGAAAAACAGGATCAAGCAGTGTACCTGATTTTTTTTATTCTTTTCGTATACTAATAGTACACAAAACAGTTACTTCTATTTCTTATTTTTCTGTGGTGACAAAATAGTGAATTCTATTTATTTTTTATTTTTCTATATTGATGATATAGAAACAGTTATTTTTGTCTTATTTGTCCATAGTAATGATATAGAAAATGCTGATTTTCGTTTATTATTTTTTTACATTCGTGATATGGAGAATCTTATTTTTCTACATTGGTAATAAAGATAACAGTTTGTTTTATTCTCTATTTTTTATATATTGTTGACATAGAAAATTGTATTTTTTATTTTTCTATTATTATCAATATAGAAAAATAAGAATTAAAAATAAGATTTTCTATATTCTTAATATACAAAAATGAGAAATAAAAATAGGTTTTTCTATATTATCAATATAGAAGAATAAAAAATGACAATTAAGATTTTCTATATTATCAATCTAAAAAAATGAAAAACAATAAATAAGATTTTCTAAATTACCAGTTTAGAAAAACAAGAAATGAAAATTTAGTTTCGTATATTATTGATAAAGAAAAATAAGAAATAAAAGTAACTTATTTATATTACCAACATAGAAAAATTTAAATTAAAACTAATCATTATTTATATTATCAATATAGAAAATAAGAATTAACAAATATAACTTTCTACATTATTAATATAGAAAAATGAGATTCTCTATATTGCCAAAACAGAAAAACAAGAAATAAAAATGGAAATTTCCATACTACCAGTATAGCAAAAATGAAAAATAATGGATAGGATTTTATATAATATCAAATATAGAGCAAATGTTGACTGTACTCAGGCCCCGCGAAAGTGGGGGGGGTGTAGGGGGGTGTACACCCCCCCAATAATTAATAATTACTCATTCGTAGCCAACAAAATCCATAAATCTTTTTGAAATTTTTTGCTAGAAAATTCTGAAGGGATGTTTAAATTTTTCGCTTCGCGAAAACATGACCACGGTAGCGTATTCGACCTAGAAATATCTGTGATTTTTCTGTTTTTAACGCAATTTTACTTCTGTCTTCTTTTTGAAGAGCTTTATTTTCCAACAGTCGTCACTAGCGTGGCCGCCTTCGGCGGCGAAATCTCTAAGAGTTATCGCAACACTTTTTGCTTTCGAACAACATAAGGGAAAAAGAGTTTTTCGTGAGTCTGAAAAATGTTTTCGCTTCGTGAAAAATAACAATTGTGTAACCGCAGTTAACTTAGACAAACTTCCTATTGTCCGATTCAAAATAAAAGGCAGGTTACCATTTTTCGAATAAGTTTTGATAGGAACGAGATAGAGAGGTGTGGTTTTCACAATTCGAAAGAGGGATGTCTGGGCCATCGATCGGTATAGAACTCACTAAGACGGAAGATGCTTTTTTTTATATGTACCTTTGGATCAACACTTTTTCTTTTGAGTATTTTCATCAATTTTCACGATAATCTCAGCTCAAATTATGTCAAAATGTAGCTCAAAACACCCTCTTTTCGCTATAAAATTATCACATATTTTATTATCTCTCAATCGCTTATTCTAAGCGGGTTTAAAAAAAACAAATGTTAATTTTATAGCGAAAAGAGGATGATTTGAGCTACATTTTGACATAATTTGAGTTGAGATTATTCTAAAAATTGATGAAAATACTCAAAGGAAAAGTGTTGATTCAAAGGTACACATAAAAAAAAAATATCTTTCGTCTTAATCAGTTCTGTACCGATCAATGGCTCGGACATCGCTCTTTCGAATGATGAAAACCGCAGCTCTGTATCTCGTTCGTATCAATAGTTATGCGAAAAATGGTAACCTGCCTTTTATTTTGGATCGGATAATACTTTAGTCAACTTTTCCTTTGAAACAGCTTGATATAGAGCAATTTGCACCAAAGTGGTCGCTTTCGATAACGGCAGTATCGAGCAATTTTCTCATATTGGACTTGAGTTCTCTTCTTGAAAATTTGCGAGAAAAAATCAAATTTTTTAAGGAGGTTGCAAAAAGTTGTCGCTTCGCGAAAAATGATTACATTTTAGGCCCGCTAAAAAAGATTAACATCAGATCTGATGCGAAAAAAATTTTGCTTCCCTCAGTCTTGACTGCCTTGAAATCTCGTCACACCCCCCCAATCTTGGGTCCCTCGCGCGGGGCCTGACTGTACTTGTTCTAAAATAAGACTGAAGTTTATGTGCAAAAAAACGAAGCAACGTAGCTGATTAGACTGATCATTTCCATGTGTATAAGAGATATTTGAGAAGTTTGATTTAATTGAAATAAATCTATAGTGTTAATAAGCATTTCATATAGCTCTATGCCATCATCTATAAGTAGAATACAAAATTGCCTACTAGAGTTTTATGTCTCACAATCTCTTTGATTTAAAAAGCAGAAAGTATTGTTTTGTTTCTGACTCTCATCTTCGAGTTGTTTGACACATAATTAAAGGTCTCATACCGTTTTACACGCATTTGTTTTTTGTCGATGGAAGAAAAGAAATAATACTAAAATGTACTTTCTTCCAATTGCACTGAGACATTAACATATTAAAAATACATGACATTACATGTAATAAAAATGAAAATTGATTAAATAGTATTAAATTTAATCAAGATCTCGATTATAGCTAGATTCTTCATAGATAAATTAAAAAGGATGAAACTATTTAAATTATTTTTAGGGAGCTTATAAAACTGCATGACATTTTTTATTAACTTCATCGGTTCTGTAACTGTCCATTCAAGATATAATCATAGAAGTATTGTTTCTAGTCTAAAGCTCAAGTCAGTATCAATATAAATCTTTAGAAAATTCTAGATCAACAAAAAAAACTTTCTTCTAAGATTTAACCAGTGCAGAATGCGATACAATAACAATTTGAAGAAGAAATCTTCACACTTATTGCTATTGAGAATAGCTAAAATCACGATGAAATCTTTTACGATCGTTGCTTTTTTGTGAGAATCTCCAAAAATTTACACCTATTGAATAACCTACAAAACATAAGTTTGCAAACATTTTAGATCAAGATTTTCATAGAAGATTCGTATTGTCTTGTAAAGAAGTGAAAATATTTAATTGTAGAAAGATCGAAATCGATCCGTGATCGAAACTGCTATTGTTTAAAAAACCGTGTTTCATATACCCATACCCTATTAAGTTGAAAATTTGTAATACATTAGAAATGAATTCAGAATAAAAGATTTGATTGATTCGTATATAGATTATTGTTTGTGCTACAATGCAGAATAATGAATATGACAGATTCTTCAAATATTCTTGAACTTGGGAAAGATTTGTTTTTGAGTTCTTCTTATCTACTAAAATTCGAACTTACGTATTTTTTTATCTAAACTTATCTTATTTAGCACTTCAATTAGTCTTTCTACAAACTGCTTGGTTGTTTGAGATTCAGGAATAAATTACTCAATAATAAATATGATGCAAAATTAATTGCACAAAATACTTTCGAATGATGTATGATTTATATTTGTCAAACATTCGTAAATGGAATAAGAAAGAAAAATACTTACACAAAAAATTTGTAATTTTTTTATATGAATCAGTCAAAAACGTCTTATGGATGGTAGTTAAGTATAATTAACGATCGTTATTATCTAGCAAGATGTTTTTAATGAATTCATGTAAAAGTGGCAAATTTATTTTGTCTCATTTCACTCAGAAATGTGTGACGAACATAAATCATACACCGTTTCCTATCAACTGATAACAAAATTGTTTTTCCTTACGTTCAAATTCTATTATAACTCATTTTATTGTAAAATCCAAACAATAAAAAATGAAATAATTTTTAAATATATTTCAAACTCGAACTAACGAAATCAGTGAATATGTTGAAAAACTTCGATATAAAAGAAAATTCCATTTACGATAAAATTCGAGTTAATCGCAATTTTTTCCGTTACCAGTTAAATTTCAGTTAGTTTTAGTCAAACTAACGATTCTTACACAAAATATTTCAGAAAAATCAACAATGTTTTGTTTTCAACATTGAGAAAAACAGATTCTAATCAAGTTCATAAGTAAAAAGCTTTTGTAATTTAGAGCAGTTCAATATTGTTTAACACCAATGAGAATGACTCATTTCAATGAAATCGATGTTTATTTCTACTCCTTACTTTCGTTTCATTTCAGTACCAATGCGTGCAAGTTCCATTGATATTCATCCGAATGCAAAATGGGCACAGAATGGTATCCCTGTTGCTGGAGGAAATGGAAAAGGCAGTAAAACCAATCAACTCGATCGGCCATGGGGTTTGTACGTCGATGATGATCAAACGATTTATGTCGTTGATGAGTGGAATCATCGTATTGTGGAATGGAAATATGGTGCAACGAATGGAAAAGTAGTTGCTGGTGGAAATGGAGAAGGAAATGGAGCTCATCAGTTAAGTTTCCCATATGATGTGATTATCGACAAAGAGAGCGATAGTCTCATCATCAGCGATTACGGGAATAGAAGAGTAGTTCGATGGCCTCGTCGAAATGGTACTCGTGGAGAAACAATTATTTCAAATATCGCTTGCTGGGGTTTGACAATGGACGACAATGGTTCTCTCTATGTCGTTGACAATGAAAAATATGAAGTGAGACGAAATAAAATTGGTGACACTAAAGCGACAGTAGTTGCAGGTGGTAATGGAAAAGGAAATCGTCTCGATCAACTCTCTTCTCCCCGATGCGTATTTGTCGATCGAGATCATTCAGTTTATGTATCTGATAATGGAAATCATCGTGTAATGAAATGGGAAGAAGGTGCAAAACAAGGCATTGTCGTAGCCGGTGGTCAAGAAGGAAGTAGTCTTACACAATTGTGGAATCCCAATGGAGTCGTTGTCGATCAATTGGGTACTGTCTATGTGGCTGATTGTGGGAATAATCTAATTATGCGTTGGCCAAAAGGATCCACACAAGGAAGTGTCATTGTTGGTGGAAACGGTAAAGGATCACAGTCGAATCAACTCTATCGTCCCGTTTGTTTATCATTCGATCGACATGGCAATCTCTATGTCGCCGAATGGGGAAATAATCGAGTACAAAAATTTAATATCGAAACAAATTCAATGCGATGATGAATTTTATTTTCTTTTTTGTTCTCCTTCTCTTTCAAATAAATCGCGATTCAATGAAAAAATGATTTCATAGCTATTCTATTCTCTTCGCGCGCGCGCGGCCAGGAACCATCCTGGTGGAGTCGTGGCGAGCGTAAAGCTCATGCACGCGCGGGAAGACCCCAGAGATGTCCATCGCGGCTGAAAATCTGCCGCTGCCGCGCCGCGGCCTTAGAAAAAAAAAGCTGCCGCACCGCTGCCGCGCCGCGACGGTTTATAAAAAAATGTTGCCGCGACGCTGCTGCACCGCGATGACTTATAAAAGAAACGCTGCCGCGCCGCTGCCGCGATGAATTATAAAATAAACGTGCCGCCACCGCGCCGCTGCCGCGACGATTTTCAAAAAAGTGTTTCTAATTTCACTGCTGTGACTATATTTGACCAGAGATATGGGTACTAGTCCATCAGATTTATTCAATATCAGGGCGTTTCATTTGTAAATCGTGAAATTCTATTAAATTCATACAGTTTTTCAATGTCCTCCAAAAAATCCTGCCGCTGCCGCGATGGTTTTTTAAAAAACCTGCCGCTACCGCGCCGCTGCCGCGATGACTTTTAAAAAAATCTGCCGCTACCGCGCCGCTGCCGCGGTGATTTTTTTTAAAAACCTACCGCTGCCGCGCCGCCACCGCCACCGCGGCAGCGGCAGCGGCAGCGCCGCGATGGACATCTCTGGAAGACCCACATCATTCACATGCATCCATCCGGTGTCATATGTCAGTGAGTCAGGGGGCCCGATCGTGTGCCACGGACACCAAGACAGTTCCTGGCCGAGCTTTTAGG